GTAGCATGGCCCAGCGGCCCTACTTCTAGTGCTGGCCCCTTATCCTTCCTTGTTCATGCTTGTGGGGACCGCAACAGATGGGGCCATCCCAGCTGCACGTCCTGCAGTCTCCACTTGTCCCAGAAGGAGCTGCAGAATTGAGTGCTGTTAGAACGCACTTCTAGAAAGCCTGGGTTTGACCCTACAGCTCTGACTAGTCAATGAGACCGCTAAATCCTATTGTCTTAACAAGCTCCTCCTTTGGGAGAAATCGCCGACAGGGACTCTGTATTTGTGTGTGTGTGTGTGTGTATTAGAACTTTCAAGAATATGACACTCAAATCACATGAATAATTTTTCTTGATTTTTTTGAGACATTCAACCAAGTAACAAGAAGGTTCTCTCTTTTTTTTGGTTCATTTTTCTTTTAGCAGGCTATATACACACAAGGCTAATTAATCTTTTAAAATTGCTTTTATTTCAAAGTTCGGCACAAATTGTGTGAGTTTGTCATGAACATAAGAATCAGATATTTCTTCCCGTCTTGGGAGAAAATTCCAGAGACCCACAGCTTCAATATATTTTCAGAATTCGTGCAAGTTAAAACGAACGCAGACTAAGTGCGAAGATAATGTACACATGCCAGAACGAGGGCTTTCAAACCCTTTTACTGTATTAACCTATTTGAGCCTTCTTGCCTCAAGCATTTCCTTACAATGGCTTGGAGATTGGCGCACTTGAACAGTTTTCACGGTGTAGTCCTAATTCTCTACACTGACCTGGCCATATGTCAATCAAAACTGAAACTGAAGGAAAGGTATCAGGGCAACTTGTTTATTGTAGGGATATCACATTGTATGTCTCTCTCACACTTCAGTGGGAACTCTATCCACACTTGAGCCTTGTTTCTATGAAAAGACCTTTATCTGACAGTAAGATGACTGTTGCTATATTTCAGGGAGAGCAACAGGAAAATCTGTGATTTTTTTTTTTCTTTTGAGCAATTTATAGGCTTTTCCTTTATGGCTACCTTGAATCTTGTAACCAATCATGTAATCATCTGGAATTGATGTCTGAGAATCTGAGAACTGATTTGTGATCTTAACATAGCACAAGAATTTTCTGCTTATACAATCTTGCCAACTAACTTCACTTTAGCTTCATTTTATTATTCAATCCTGATTTTTCCTTTCCCTTAATTGCTTTATCTAATCTTGCTCTATACTATACGACCTACTATACATAATGCATATAATATAAAGAAATATATACACTGTAAAATAGTCCGTATTTTTGTCAGCCACCGCAAATCTTTTTTATAAGGGAAATTTTAAGCAAATAATAGTGAAATGAATTGTGTCCCCAACTGGTGGTGTTCTGTTCCTTATAGTAATTTAACTTTATTGGTCTCTCTTTTCTAATATTATGTTGATTTTCTCCAAATAAGACGTTGGAGTCCCTTAAAAATGAGTGGGCAAAATGGGCGAAGGTGGTCAAAACAACCTTCCAGTTATAAAATCAATAAGGCATGGGATATAATGTCCAGCATGCTGATTATAGTTAATAACACTCTATTGTATATTTGAAAGTTGCTGAGAGACGATCTTAAAAGTTCTCGTCACAAGAAAAAAAACTAAAATTATGTGTTGATGGACGTTCGCTGAACTTACTGTGGTGAACATTTCCCAATATATATACATGTATACACAGTACACCTGAAACTAATATAATGTTATATGTCAATTATGTCTCAATAAAAAAATTAATGCAAGCTAAAAATAAAAAGCAATGAGCAGAAGAGGCCATCGGTCTTATTGAGCGTCCTCTCTGCCCTATGACCTAGTTTTGACTTTTCCTTTTTCCTTTCACTTTGCTTTTGTGTGCTGGCCTCTCTATTCTCTAGCCAGTCAACCCCCCCCCCACGGCCCCCAATGCCCCCAGGCAACACTCAGCAGTCCTTAACAATACCTGGTCCACTAGGGAATCTAACCTATAGCACAGTCTGCACTATGAAGCCCTAGGCACAGTCCGGCGTCCCTAGGACATGGTAAATTGTATAACTATCCACTCTCTGGTTTGTTTCAGGGAAGCTGACAGGTCTATATGGAAAACATTGAGTGGTATGTTGAAAAGAAATAATCATACAGAGCCTCCCCCGAGAAGCATTTAGGTCCATATCATTAATCTTTGTAACACTCCTACGGAAGAGGCAGGAGGTGAGTCCTCTCACCCAGTGCTTCATAAATGAGGGAACAGGGCAGATCAGTGGGGGCAAGCCGGGCAGGGGGGAGTTTGTACGTGGTGGGGGAGAGTTAGAGTATCAGGAGAGAATATCTAAGACCCTGAAGGTCCCTATGAGGCACTCAGCTTTATTCTGACAGCTCCCATGCAGGCGGCAGCCTGAGCAAATGCAGGTTTTGTCTTTTACAGGAGTGTTTAACTTTTCAGGGGACTGGTGTCCATACACGGCCTTCCCCACCTCCTTCCGCTTGGCTCTGCTCTCCAGCCCAGCCCCCAAGCCTCACACTAAATGTCGTGCTGTCAGTAGCTGCCAATGAGTTTAAATTCCAGGCCTCCAGGCAAAGGTTTTCAAAAGGTCTCTGCTCCAGCTGACCATTTCCAGAAATGCTTTGACCACCCACCCTCGAGATTTCCTCCCCAGGCAAACCTGGGCTGTTTGCTTGGCTCCAGCACCTTCTCTGACGCCTCATTCTCATCTGTGCTCAGTGTAGGGGGCTGAAAATAAGGAGGCGGCAAAGTTGGCCCTGTCCCCAATCTTCTGCCACACAGCTGTGCATAATGGACGTGGATTTGCTTATTTTGCAGCCTGAATTACTTTCTCTTTAAAGCTGCATGTCCCCATATGTGGCTTATTAACTATTTAATGAAGCTGATAACTAATCTCTTACGTCATTCTCTATAATTTGTAGAACTAACATCCATAATGCAACAGTAGAAAATGAAAGGAGTCAAGATGAGAAAAAAGACAGCAAGACATCAAAGTAGAGGAATTGGTAAGAAAATAAAAATAGAACCTCCTACAGGATGGCTTTTTCCCTGCAAGATGGAGATTAAACAATTTTGTGGTACAGTCTAAAGTGATACAATTTTTAGAAGCTCCAGGATGGGTTTATTGTTTATGTACTTAGAGGTATCTCTTTAGGAAACCAAAGAGCTGTTGTAAATTAAACTCCTGTTTAGAAAGTGGAAAGTTAGAATGTTAAAACTGAAAATTCTGTGCAATACAATAATTTATGTTAATAATTGTCTACTGAGCACTCAATATAGGCTGGGCACTGAGAAAAATGCTTTATATGCATTACCTCCTTTAAAACTCAAACACTTATGAGGGAGGTTTCCCCATTTTACCTACAGGAAAACAGTTTCAGAATGGTTATATAACTAAGACAAGGTCATACACCTAGGAAGTCACACAGCCTGGGTTTGAATCCAGGTTTGTTTTTTTCTTTCTGACCCCATGATGGTCCCTCTCAGGTTCTGCAAGCTTCTGAAGTGTCTTGTGAATTACCGTGTGAAAATTCACTTCTTTTGTGTAGCTCCATATTGTAATATCAAGTCTGTTTTGCCATGTCTATGTAAGTTTTGTAGAAAAACGCATCTCACTGAAGAAGTCGGACTCCTAGTTTCAAGGGATATTGTATCAAGTAAAGTCATGAATGTGAAAAACCTTTGGAAAATATAGAAGCATTCTACAGAGGAATGAGAATGCCCTTGCTATTAAAAATGTCAAGGTGGGGACCAGCCCGTGGCCTACTGGTTAAGTTCAAAGCGCTCTGCTTCAGCAGCCTTTCTGGGTTTGTAGGCCTGGACTGGGGCAGGGACCTACACACTGCTTATCAAGCCATGTTGTGACAGGCGTCCCACATACAGAGAAAGATGGGCTCAGATGTTAGCCCAGGGCGCATCTTCCTCAGCAAAAAAAAAAAAAAAAAAAGTCAAGGTGTATGTGATATGCATGGTAATTCTAGGTTGACCAGAATATTTTGAATAAAAACACCTGCTTACCTAACCCATTAGCACACTGGTAACTTGTGAACAAGCTACCGCTTCACTTCATTGCCCTGGGAGCTGCAGAACCACGAGTTTGTTCGAGATTAGGCATTACAACCTCGTGCTCTCCCAAGTTATTTCTGGGCCACGACCACTTGCTTGGCTCTGCGGGGCACGTTTATGTCACGAGTTTTTCTTTCACAGGCACAGACACTCCTAACGTGCAACAAAGCGTTAAGAGGCAGCCATATACGCATTACAGCTGGGTCGTCAGCAAATAAGCTACTTTACCGCCCCCCGCCCCGGGTTATCATGCTGCCCACAAACACCGCTGCGCTAACTAGCAGGGGGCAGGGCTGGTGATTAACTGCCCCCTTCAGTGTCTCACCTGATCTTCCAAGAGTTTCCAGCGCTCACGTGCGTGCTTTGAAACAGCATTAAAGCCGCTCAGGGCAAGAGGATTTAAAACCCCCAGAAAGACCTGATGAGAGCTCATTACTTGATCCACCTCGAGGTATGAAGAAAATAGCGGCTTTACGTACACATGAAATGACCGGAGGACTTTCTTCTAAAGGGCCTTTAACGAAGACAGCACAATTTACAGAGGGTAGTCTATTTCAGGTTTGAAAAGGCAATTTGGGAGAGTCGCTGTAGCGTTCCAACTCCTTCTTCCTCCCTTATTCTACTAAGAGAAAACTGAGGTAGCCGGAAAGCACAGTGTAGGAGCTCGAGCCGGGGAAAGACAAATGTTGGCCTGACCCTGGTCATTAGAAATCAACTGACAACAGGAAGGAAGCTTATTAACCCCTCTGCTCCCCCTCCCTTTTCCCGGGGTGGGAATCGGCTCCTCCTCCTCCTGGTCGTGCGACCCTGGTGTAAAATGCAAGCAACCGCGTGCTTTCCCCACCCTGCCCTGGTCTCCCGGCAGAGGAGGAGGCAAGAGGGGAGGGCACAGCCCAAAGCCGAGTCCAGCAAATCTGTCAATCCGGTGTGAACATCCCGAGCGAGACGACCTGGACCCCGCGACCCTCGCCCGTCTGGGCACCGCAGTTGCCCCGTTTACTTACCTCTCTGGAGAGTTTGCACCCAGCACCCCAACTCCCAGCCTGATTCCCCCCAGCTTCACAACGCCCCCAACCCCTGTGCCCCGCGCAGGTGGCGCAAACGCCCTTGCCCTCCGGCGCCCCCTGCCGGGGAGAGGGAGGGCGGCGGCGGCGGCGGCCGCGGAGGAGCCGGGCGCAGGGCGGGGAGAGAGCTCCGGCGCCGGGAAGAAGCCGGGAGCTTCCCTGATGGTGCCGCCGCCTCCGAGCCGGGGAGGAGCGGCGAGGGGGCAGCTGGGCAGGAGCCTGGGTCCGCTGCTGCTGCTCCTGGCGCTGGGACATACGTGGAGCTACCGAGAGGAGCCCGAAGACGGCGACAGGTAAGCGCTGCCAACCCCTGCTTGGTGCGCGCACGGCTATCGGGGTGCCGGTGGTGTCCCCATCACCTACCTCCGCAGCCCCTCGCACGCCCTCGCTCCACCCGGCATGGGCTGAGTGCTCAACCGTCCTGGGCGACATTAAACTATGCTCCCGGGTAACAGCCTCCACTCTCTCAGCTGGGGCTCCCCGATTCCCCCGCCCCGCATTCCTGCCGCCCTCCAGTGCCCCGCTTCTTCAGCTCTTCTTTCTCCTGGGGCTGGGTTCGCTCCGTTGGACCCTCACCTGCCCCGACCCTGACCCCGGAGTCCGCTGGGCTACGCGCTCGGGGACCAGCGCCTGCTCGGCGCGCCGGGACGCAGATGCCTGCAATCCTCGCGCGCTAGGAATCCCCCCGCGCGCACTGCACGCCGCTCTCCGGGCAGAATCAACGACATTGCCTCTCCAACTTTTTCGCAGAGAAATCTGCTCAGAAAACAGAATCGCCACGACCAAATACCCGTGTCTGAAGGCTTCAGGCGAGCTCACCACGTGTTTCAGGTAAGCCTCGGGGCTCTGCCGGCTCCGCCACTGCGCACCCTGGGTGGTTGGGAAGGCGGCGCCGCAAAGGAGGGGTTTGGAGACGCGCTCGGGAACTAGGGGCCGCGGTGGTGCTGGGACGTGCTTCGTGAGTTCTCCTTGGTTCAGACCTTTGTTGTTTCTGGGCTGGAGCAACGACAGTCAACCAAGAGCCTGCACCTACAGTTTGTGCCCTAAGATCCTGAAGTTGTTGACCGCTCCCTGGAATACTTGTGTTGGAGCATCGTAGGGGAAGAGGTTGCAAGTTTGTAAGGAAAATGGATTGGATTGTGGATGTAAACAGTGCGGCACAGCAAAGATGATTTTGCATTTTGTTTTGAAATGTGCGAAGTCAACAACAGAGACGTTCTTGGCCCTTGGCTGTCTTTGACCTTCTGCCGGGACACAGTGTAATACTGTCACGGTCTCTGTGGGCAAAAGGACGGGGGAGGATTGCGGGCGGCTGATATGGTTGTGTTGAGTGAAAACAAAAAACGTCAAGATTGTTGAGCCACAAGGAGAACAGTTTTGTTTTGGTTTTTTTTGAAAATGCGGTCCACAGATCACCTGGGTTAAAACTGAGCCTGGAGAGGCCTCGGGAATCTGTTTGAAAACTGCTCTCCAGGCGGTTCTTATTCTCAACAAAAGGAGGGAATCACTGTTCCCCTGCTTGCAGCCTTTTGGAGGTGTGGGGGTCGATTTCTTTTTTTATACCATTGGCCTCTGTTCCAATGCTCTCACTAGATGGAGGCCTGTGCCCATAAACCTCTATTAGTTTCCTGCTTCTAAAAGTTACTGTTCAAGGTGCTGGGCTCACACACTCACACCCGACTCTGTCTTGGGGAATCCTACACTCTGGTTGGGGTGCCAGGATAAATATTGGGACATACAAGGCAACACAGCAATCCTCAAAAGTGAACTCGAAAGAAAAAAGTTTTGCTATCCATAGTGTTGTAGCAGATGAATCAATCATACACTTCTTGCAGCTGAAAGCATTGTTTTACATGCTCAAAGGTTCAGCTGTAAGTGTTCTGGGGCTGGTCGGTTTAGTGGTACAAAGGCCCATCAGTTACATCACCTCCCCTGCTTTAATGTGTCATTGGCAATGGAATGACTACGATTGCTTAGTTGAATCAACAGTCACTCCTTGGGCTTGGGACAGGCTGCCTTTTCTGGGACAGGGGCAGTGAACACTGAACAAAACAGGTGAGTTAGAGGAGGAAGGAGTATGTTCAGTAGGTAAAGACTTAGAGGTTGACTGGGTAAGCAGGGTCACCCAGCTGCTGAAATGACCTGATGAAGCTGGCACCAGGATTGCTTGCCCGGTTCCAGCCTGGTGTTTCAGCCATGAGACCACAGTGTTTCTTAGGACACATTCTGTTCCTATCACCGCAGTATAAAGCCTCTAATTTAGCATGGAGAGTGTTCCTGAGATGGTTTGCTCATTTGTTTGGTCCCTGAAGGTCAGACTGCACATGAATCAGTGACAGTTACAGAATGCATGTCCAATTTCCAGAAACCATGGGTGCCTGATTAGTGTTCTAAGTGGATTTAACTTGTTATGCTGTTACACTCATCTTTTCCAGATTTTTAAAAAGTGTGGTTTCTCTTACACTAAGAATCTCAACAAGACACTAGCAGTGTCTTGATGTGTTTTCATTAACAGCTCTCAAAAGAAACAGCTTATGACAGCTGACAAAAAGGTTATTTTATATCTCGGAGAAGAGTAAGGAACATTGTTTTGGGGAATGAGAGGAATGGGAGAGGATGTTTACAACTAGAGAAAGTGGTAATGGTCCCTGTGAATAGGAAGAGTTGTTTGGTTTTGTCTTAAGTTACTTCCTTGATGAAAGTCAAGCGTTCTGTGTACTCGTTTGGTTTTGTATGACTTCCGTAATTTAGTAATTTCTTAGAGACACAGTTGGCTGGCACTTGCTGTCCCCATTTTGCTTTTGAACCCCAAGAATGGAAGCATACTGTGTGTTCCTTGGTTTGTGGATTCTGATTGTCCTGGCCCTGTAGACCCTTGCTGCTCCCAAGGGCATCATCTGGGAGCTTGTTTGAGCCTCTGGCCCTCCCCAGACCTCTGAAACCGGAACCTATGTGTTAATGAGCTGTGCGTTAAAGCTGGAAAAGTGCTGCTGTAGAGACCAGGGTCCTGCACGGTCGTGGTGCAGGCCCGTTAAGACAGATCCTCAGAGTAGGTCGAAGAGCCCTGCAGGTGAGAGAGGAGTTACGCTTTCTACTACATTAACCTATAACAAGACTAAGGACCAGCCTTCCAGGAAGCCAGACCCTTCAACTCTTGGATGACCCTTAATTAAGCTGTAGGTAAAGTAGCAGAGCTCCTGCTCGGGGAATGCTGATGACATAGAATCCCACTCTTAACAGAAGGGCTTTGGTGAACCAGCCCTTAGTACAAGTGAAACAACTCTGGAAGTCACTTCTGAATTTGCTGAAAGTGACTTTTAAAAATCATTGATATTGAGGATGAGTTTAACACTAAAATGAACGTGGTGGATGTGAAGAATAAATCTGATCTGCCATTATACCTAGAAGTTTATGCAGACCACAGTGATATATGGAGAAAAGGTGGGTTCAGAGTAATCCCTGTTCTGGAACCCCCTCCCACCACCTTTGTACATTTGTTTTACATGTTTTCACTTAAGCAGCCTTTTCTACTTTAGCCTCTTATGTTATCTATTAAATAATGAAAATCTGAGGACTTTGTATTCAGCACTGTTCTGTGCACTTTACATACATTATCTCTAATCCTTAAAGCCACTCTGTAGCATTTGTATTATCTCAGTTTTATGGAGGGGAGGGGGAACCAAAACTCAGAGGGATTAAGTAAATTTGCCTAGGGTCACAAAGTTAATACAAATGAGAGCCAAGATTCAAACCCAGGTTTGTTTGACTTCAAAGCCTGGGCCCTTTCATCGTCCCCGAGGTGTCTGAGGATAAAGCTGAACTTTCTAGATCCTGGGATCTAAGTAAGGAAGAAGACTATAAATTCAGAGAGAGATAAATTCAAAAGACAGCTTGATAGAAAACTCCAACATCCATCGTGACCACAGTGGTTTTTCTGAATTACTGTTGCCCTTGAGATCTATCATAAACAATTGAGTTTATATTATCATATTATACACAAAACTGGTTCATACTTGTATAGCTTTCTTGTAGGATTTCATCTTAATCACAGGGTCTGTCTCAAGAGACTCCCTACCCCAATGTGCACTGTGTCAAGGACCCAAAGTTTAATAAACACTTGTTGAGTGAATGCCAATGACAGCTTAACAGGCTTACAGAGTACATGTTTGCTCAGCATTATAATTGGATATAGGGTGCAGTCTTTACCGGTAGTTAAGATTTCAGAGTTGGTGTGTGATTTATCTAGACTCTGAATTTATTATAGCCAAACAAAGCATATAAAGTTTTCATGGCATTAGCCCTTTCATGGCTATTAAAGTTCTTCCCACAAGTTGATTTTCCTTCTTTCCCAAATCATGTAGTTTGAACAAAAGGTTTGTTTACACCTTTCTTTTATGGGGGCTTGTATTAATAAAATGACATGTTAAAAGCTTTTTGAAAAAAGGAATACATTTGTCTATAGGAAACACCAAGAAAATCCAATTTTTATTAAGGTTGTATCAAGTAAACATCCTAATTAAATCTTTTATCCATTGAAGAATTTGTTGAGCATCTATTATGAGCTTAAACTAGTCCTAGAAAATGTTTGAGCATAAAAGAATAAGCTACAGTCCCAGGTCTTGATTTTTTAGACCAAGGCCTTTGAAATTGTAACAATACACAGTGGTGCATGATTGAGTTCAAGTTCGTATAGTTTATATTATCAGTGATGGAGAAGAGATTGGAAACAGCTAGGTATGACTTTATGAGCTAGAGAAGACTTTGTTTTTCAACGTGGTTCTTTAACATAGTGCGTTAAGCATTTGTGTTAGCCATGATTTTCAGCTTTGTGATTCATGGACCTCCAAGTGGAGGCCCTCAGCTGTATTTGTCCAGTCAGTGTTGTCTTTAATTAAACATTGCTCTTGTTTAGTGTTTGTTCCCATGGGAAATGACGTGGGATGCAGCGACTCCCACTTTTCTTTGAGATAATGCAACAGTGTTGCCAAATGCTGTTAAAACATGGCAGTTAATGTGATATTTCTGCAAAGATGTTTACTTAGAATTTGGAGAGGAGGTCCAGTCAATTAGGAACGTCACTTAATTAGAGCAGCACCACCAGATTAAGAGCCCCGGACTGGAGCTAAGGCTGTTTTGGAGGAAAGACTGTAGAAGGCACTCTCTGAGATCTCTGAGTTTCTACAGATGGCTTTGATGTCAAAAGATGCACAATAATGGAACCGCAGCCCTGGTTTGTAATCCTAGCTCTACTTACTTAATTGTTTTGTGACCTTGAACAATTTCTTAATCTCGGTACTTTAGTTTGTGCCTTTGTAACACGAGGATCACGTTCCCATTGGAGTTACAGCGTTTCTTTGAAGGTTAGATGAGTTGATATATGTAGAAAGTGCTTGATGACTATCACCTCTCCCTACCACTGCTGCTTCTCCCTAAGTCTGGCATGTTGAGTGCACCTAGTAGTTGCTCAGAGCGTTCATTGAGTTTTGAGTTCTGAGCTTTATAGAATACACTTTTGAAAGAAGAAATTCAGACCACAGCCAGAAACACTGAGGGTGTTGATACACCAGTCACACATCAGTTTTTAGATGCTTTTCCAGATGTAGCATAGCCCAGAAACGTTGAGCCTTGGGGAAAATGAGTGTATCTTTGCTTCCTGCCTCCTACCTGACTACACAAGGTACCATATGTGTATGACCATAAGGGCAGGCAGAAGGCATAGTTACCCCATTTTTAGAGGATTTTAGAGGTTTACCCCTTGCCTGGTGTCATGAAGGGTCTTATTAGCAGAGAGGAGTCTAAAAATCAAATCCTCAGGTCCTCAGCCCAGTTCT